CCAGGTGAATATTTTGTGTTTAAGAGGTACAGCTGCGGAGATTTAGCTAAGAGGCAATGTCTATTTCTATGATGCAGGAGATGTGGAGTTCAAATCCTGAATTTTTTATTGTGAGAAAATGTGTCTTTTCTTGTGAAGGACATGGTGTAGATTCACCACTGTGAAACCGTGCTTACAGGATCCCCAGTCTGTGTCACTCTCCCTACGCCAAGCAGCCAGTTACTCATGACTGAGTTGAACATATATTTGTCATGAACCTCACTGTTGTGAAGCATAACAAATAAAGGTAATTGAAGTCCAAGGCCAGGAATTGAATCCAGGGTCTTCTGCACCACAGACAGAGACACTGCCCAATTTCAGAGAATGACCAATTTCATACTTTTAGTCTTTGATGGAACATTTGTGACACTTACACACTCACATACATTTTCAGAAAATGTTGCTGAAACTATTCTATGTATTTCACAAGAAAATAAAATAGTTGTTCTAAACTGATATCGAAAATGGTACTATTTGGTCTGAAAACCAATTTGAAGGTGACAAAGAGAAAGAATTTGGTCTTCCATAGATTTATGGATCTGTTTTTATATATTTTAAGTATTCATTGTTGGTCTTTGCTGGTCTACAGGATCTACAATTTATGCAGCCTTCAGAGTACTGCTTGAAAACGATTATGGGACGGTCAGAACTAAAATGATACATTACACATCCTGAAATGAATCAAAATATCATGTGTTTATTTGATTTTGCTACTTTAAGTAAATTTTAAATGAACTACTTTTTACTTTTACTTCAGTAGATATTGGTTATTCTACTTGTGCTTAAGTAAAATCTTTGAGTGAAACTGTTTGTTTGACTTTTGTTAATTAATCATGACCAAGAGTTAGGTCGCTTCTCAACTGAATTAGTGCGTAAATGCACCATTTTATCGGCTAATTTTCTCACTAACTAGGTAATGAAAATAAAATCAACGATATTACCTCCGACTGCACCAAGTCTGAAAAGACCATTAGATTACATCACAGACAGTGTAATGTGCGGATGGGATTTGCGTTTCCTCATTGGGGCAGTTTAGAAAATGAAGAAAAGGGATAAAGAGTGAGGTAGATGGGATGAGAAGAGAGAGATGTAGAGGGGAGGGGCCACCTCTGACTGCAGCAGAGAAATGAGTGGACAGAAAGGGGGTGGGCAGAGTGGGTAGAAGGACAGTGAGGCAGTTAGAGAGAGAAGGAGAGGTAGAATGAGAGAAGAAGGGAGGGGAAAGGAGGCTGCATCTGCTCACTGCAGAGCCTTTCATTGATAAAGTACTGTGGCGCAAGCTGGGGGACCGCAGCCGGACACATCTGAGACAAACTCACCTCATCATGCATCCACACGCACACTTCCTGGCTGTTTGTTTACAGGCTGACCACAAAGCAGCAAAAGTGCATCCACTCCTGATGCACCCAGTAGAGCTGGACTAGTGAGGAGGCTCCACACTGGCTCCGCCGACCCCAGCATCACTCGGTGTTACTAATCAGAGCAAGAACAAGAATCATCACCGACTTTTCTGGTGTTTTCATAATGTGGACATACATCAGTGAAAGCTAGGAGGTGGATACCTGTGACTACGGAGCTGGGAGTCAGTGCATCTGATCCTGGGTCAATTTTTCGGAGGAATCCCTGGTAAAAAGAAGGCTGCAGCAGGATCAGTGGAAGGAAGCATCCCACCATCATAAAGGTACAAACAGGAGAGACACGTGTGTGAATGACATTGTCACTGAAGCCACAGCTACAGTATGAATACTACTTCCAGATGCATGAATAAACTTTATCACATGTCTGCACATCTGCTGTGAGAGGCAAACACAGATGTAAACAGAGCTGTTTCCTGTCTCCTCACAGCAACAGGAGCAGACATCTCTCCCCTTCTTATCCACCTCTGCTTTTTATTTTTATGTGTTCCTTCTCTTTGTCCTGACACCCAGTCACTAATCCCATTTTTGTTGCAGCAGACTGCTTTTATCCTTCATATTTTGGCTCATGGTCCTCCCCCACCTCCGTCTTTCTTTTCCTCCTCATCGTCCTCCCGTCCCTCTTTTTGCCACACAGTAGCATCTTTCTTTCTCTCTCTCTCTCTCTCTCTCACACACTCTCTCTCCCCCCTCCCTCATTCCCTGTCCCACACTCATCTCTGCTGCGATAACTACAACACTCTCCTCATGCCTTAGACAATTCTCTCAGTTTCTTCTTTTCACTCCATGCCAGCCTGTCTGTCACCCTGGGATCTACAGAGGCAAGCGGGGTGCCGGTGACGGCGATGAAGCTGGTGAACGGAGGAGGAGGTGGTAGTCCATTAGATTACATCACAGACAGTGTAATGTGCGGATGGGATTTGCGTTTCCTCATTGGGGCAGTTTAGAAAATGAAGAAAAGGGATAAAGAGTGAGGTAGATGGGATGAGAAGAGAGAGATGTAGAGGGGAGGGGCCACCTCTGACTGCAGCAGAGAAATGAGTGGACAGAAAGGGGGTGGGCAGAGTGGGTAGAAGGACAGTGAGGCAGTTAGAGAGAGAAGGAGAGGTAGAATGAGAGAAGAAGGGAGGGGAAAGGAGGCTGCATCTGCTCACTGCAGAGCCTTTCATTGATAAAGTACTGTGGCGCAAGCTGGGGGACCGCAGCCGGACACATCTGAGACAAACTCACCTCATCATGCATCCACACGCACACTTCCTGGCTGTTTGTTTACAGGCTGACCACAAAGCAGCAAAAGTGCATCCACTCCTGATGCACCCAGTAGAGCTGGACTAGTGAGGAGGCTCCACACTGGCTCCGCCGACCCCAGCATCACTCGGTGTTACTAATCAGAGCAAGAACAAGAATCATCACCGACTTTTCTGGTGTTTTCATAATGTGGACATACATCAGTGAAAGCTAGGAGGTGGATACCTGTGACTACGGAGCTGGGAGTCAGTGCATCTGATCCTGGGTCAATTTTTCGGAGGAATCCCTGGTAAAAAGAAGGCTGCAGCAGGATCAGTGGAAGGAAGCATCCCACCATCATAAAGGTACAAACAGGAGAGACACGTGTGTGAATGACATTGTCACTGAAGCCACAGCTACAGTATGAATACTACTTCCAGATGCATGAATAAACTTTATCACATGTCTGCACATCTGCTGTGAGAGGCAAACACAGATGTAAACAGAGCTGTTTCCTGTCTCCTCACAGCAACAGGAGCAGACATCTCTCCCCTTCTTATCCACCTCTGCTTTTTATTTTTATGTGTTCCTTCTCTTTGTCCTGACACCCAGTCACTAATCCCATTTTTGTTGCAGCAGACTGCTTTTATCCTTCATATTTTGGCTCATGGTCCTCCCCCACCTCCGTCTTTCTTTTCCTCCTCATCGTCCTCCCGTCCCTCTTTTTGCCACACAGTAGCATCTTTCTTTCTCTCTCTCTCTCTCTCTCTCACACACTCTCTCTCCCCCCTCCCTCATTCCCTGTCCCACACTCATCTCTGCTGCGATAACTACAACACTCTCCTCATGCCTTAGACAATTCTCTCAGTTTCTTCTTTTCACTCCATGCCAGCCTGTCTGTCACCCTGGGATCTACAGAGGCAAGCGGGGTGCCGGTGACGGCGATGAAGCTGGTGAACGGAGGAGGAGGTGGTAGTGGAGGAGGAAGTGGAGGAGGTGGAGGAGGAGAGAAGACTGCCTTTTCCTTTAAGAAGTGCTCGGCTTTCCAGTTTGTCAAGAGGAAGGTAAGTTTGGACCACGAATACATGTGCAAACACACACACACTTACAAGAAAACAGAGAGACAGAGGAGAGAGAGGTGTGTGTGTGTGTTTACTGCCAGAGATGATGTCATGGTAGAAACCATGCCGTGCTAATCAGGTGCAACATTTGGCTCCTTGTGTATCAGAGCATGCGTCGCTCATCAAACGACGTTCAATTGTCTGTTAATTAAAAACCCTGACGTCCTTTTTAAGACCTCCAGTGGAGCTGGTGTTACTCAGCCGGTTGTAAACACAGGCTGGCAGTTACCATAAAACTAACAGGACATGTCTTTATAGGTATGTGTCCAAATAAAACTTAAACTTAAAATACAGGTAATACAGGTACATAATACAATTACAACTGCAATGCAACATTAAGATTAACCACAAACATGTGTGCATCCAAGTCAGTTGTACATTTAATATA